GTCTGAGTTTAGGTAGAGTCAGTCGGAGCTGGCTTTATCTGGAAATCTGTAATTCTATGCAAGGCAGTTTTTACCAGAGCCCATTTGGAGTTTGAACTCTGTATACCCTACTTTGTATATAATGTAGGGATGTCCCGATACCACCTTTTTCAAGACCAAGAACTTTCCAATACCAATTCTTTTTCTTAAAGGGACGTGACATTTTTTTCTAAAACAATACAGATTGATGATTTCAGGGCAGTTTCTCACCAGGGCTGAATACAGATGCCACCAGGGCAGCATATGGATCTTTCCAGGGATCTGCGGGCAGTGGCTATGCTGTTTGGGCGGGTGCTGGCATGAAATGGTGGGTGGAGAGTTAAATGGGCGGGTGCCGGATTCGGGACAGCACGTGCGGTGTGGGGGCGTCCATGGTTGTGCCTGTGCTGGGAAGGAGGAAGAGGAGATGTAGAACTAGACAGACACTGCCAAGGACAGCTACTGCCAGGTCCCCAACAGGCTGCCTGAGGTTCCCACAAAAGGCAGAAACTCAGGCTGCGTCTGGTTAAAAATGTAAAGGGCCAGTATTGGCCTTAAGAATCAGGGCATTTTTCACTAGTACAGGTAACCTTGTATCGGTACCGATACTAGTATCGGAACATCCCTAATATAATGTTTCATATTGCTATACACCATGTATTATAAACTCTTGCATTGCTATAAAAGGTACAGTGTATGGGGTAATTGGTAACTATTGCCATGTGTAATAAGAACTGGATTAAAGTCCCTATAACATATCCAATTAGTCCAAATCTAGGAGGGAATTACAGCTGTACCATAGAACAATGCTCAACTCCTAGCTGATGCCAGCACCCTTTATTGCTGGCATTCCTGAGAATTGCCTGAATTGCTAAACTGAAAACAAAATTTTGCAGGTAAAGATTAAAAAATTGCCACTCAAGATCAGAAATTAGATTATTAAATGGCAAAACACAATTGTTTTAAAATTCATATTACAAAAATAAACACATTACAAATATAAATACAAATTAAACCACTCAACTGGGGTACCCCCAATTATCAAAAACTGCATGTGAATATGATGTAGAACTTTAACCAGCTGGCAAGTGGCACTCTAGGCTTTTTTCACGCTCTCCCCACTAAATAAATCCTTTTAAATAGTGATGAATACACCAAGGTGTAATGTACCCACATAATTGGATGGGTCAGGGCAGTGGTTCAGACTGCCTTATGAACACAATAATATATAATGGGGGTGCATGCTGGTTAAAGGAAATGGCTACAGAAACATAGGCAGTATAGGAAACCCAATAAAATAGTGTATTCCCATGTTAAATATGTTCTAATCAGTCTTATTTGTTATACTTCAATGATTTCTAAACCCAAGAAAAAGTCTGATATATTGTAACTTACAAAGATGTGATGGCTGCATTTGTTTTCTTTTCTCAGGCTAAGTACATATTCTGTTCTCAGACTAAGTACATTTTCTGCAAGTACAGAAAAAATACTGGTTTATGTTGTTGGAATTCCAGCATTCTTGTAACTTCCTGTGCATTGGACTTTTATATTAAACAATTATCAGTTTTTCCAGTTTTCTTTTGAATTCTGCAGGAATGCCTCCCTAAGTAAGGGATATGAGGAGAGGAGGAGGACTTAGTAGTCCAAATTAGGAGAGCAACCTGGGGTGAGAAGCTTCTCCCTCCATAAATACAATGCAGCAACTGAGCGTTGTTACTCTAGGGCAGTAAGTGTTGTTCTGGCAGGATTACCAGGTGAAAATAAAGGGAAAGAAGCTTAAAAAGTGGAAAAGAATGCAACTGCCAGGACTGGTAGGCTACAATATGTTCATATATATATATATAT